AGATAGATCATTTGATCGATAAATGTTTGATCGATTAATTGATCGATAAAAGATTTTAAACGAATGCTTTTGACAGAACACTTTATCGATTAACCAGAAGTAAGATGACATATAATATTCGAACAAGTTATCGATAAAGGTCTGATCAATTAAGTGATCAATCATTTCCTGCAACATCTTATATTAAGCAGCTATACCAATGATAGATCAATCTAGCAAGTTATTGAGCAGAGTAAATTATCTATCACGTGATCGATAAAACTTAACAATTATTGATCAAGTGATTGATAAATACATTTATCAATAACTTTATCTAAAAACCATTTATCCAACATGTTAATGATAAAACCTTAATAATGCATATGAAGATAAAAGAGAAGAATCGAAGAGATAGTACCAGGAACTCAATAAAATGATCGAGTACGTAGTTGCTTGATCAAGCTCGAGTAACATCTAATAATGAATTTTTATTTCTTCATTTCTTCTAGTACTTTTACTCAATAACATGTTTGAGTAGCATGTTGCTCGAGAGCTTAATCACTATGTAGAACTTCTAGTCTTTGCCTCAATAAATTCAAATTCTGATTTAAGCAAAATGAAGGTCAACTTTGAGTGATCATAAATCTTCCAATTCAACTCCAAATTTTGCAAATGACCTATTCCCATAAAGCACTTTGAGTCTACTTTCTAATGAAACAAGAATCATCCCAACATTCATTGTTGTTGCAAAGTTATCTTTATCATAGTGACTGAAGGTCGGAATAAAGGCATTAATCCTTACTGCAATGTTTCGAACAATATATCTCTCTCATATGAAACTCTTTGAAGGTGATTTTAGTGTCCATGAACCGTGTTCTGAGTCTTATTTCATATGAATCAAGTTTCACCTCAAACGGATTTGTGGTTTGAGAGATATTAGAGAAATACCGAACCTATGTTAGAGCTAAATGAAGAACAGAGGATAACAGAGTATGTGTTTTATCGATAACTCGATCAATTGATCGATAAATGCCCATAAAAATCACCTTTGAAGTTTATTTTCCATGTTTATATGAAGGGTGACTCAATATATGATTATATAACTTCCGGTTTATGCATTTTAGCTTCCGATTGAGCCATTCAAACTTCTGATTGAGCATAGCAACCTTTAACATCAAATCTATGAATTTGAATCTTAATATTTTCATTTGGTCTTGCAAGTTCTTCTTTTCTCAATCTCTCTTCTTCTTCTTCCTCTTGATCATTCTCCATAACTCAAAGCTCAACATAATAACTCATTTCTTTTCTTGAGGAAATTACACAAGATATTAAGTATGATAGTTAGTCAAAATATAAGGTAAATAATTTATGCAAACTTTTTGCTCTATTATTTGACATCATCAAAACTAATCATATCTAACACCAAAAAATGTGATGCAGCTGGCCTAGTCAGCCATTGCAAGGCTGGTTTCTGTGTTTGCTGTAAGGGACCCCCTCGTTTAATTTGATCATGTTCACCTCATTGCTTCAATAATGATAGTGACTGTACTACTCTTATTTATGCTTTGGATCTCAAATAATCAATAAGAATAGTTATATTCTTATCTTGGAATAATATATTGAGCCATGCATTATACTACTTTTGGTTCTAATTATAAGAGCCAGTTGACTAATTTGAGGAGATTAAGGAAGTAAGTTGAGTTAGTTATTTGTCATAAATAGGTGTTGTCTTTCCTAAAATATCCTTACTAATCAAGTGTATTGACTAGAACTATCATTATTAAAAAGATTACTTTGGAAAAAAATGTATAAATATGAGAGACAAAATAGATTGGGATCTTATACTTAGGACCAAAATAAAAGTCAAATAGGATCTTATATTAAGGACCGGAGGTAGTATATTTGAATTGCTTTCATAATTTTTGTTTTGAATTAAAGAGGTAAGCACTAATGGCTTAAAGTTATAAGTGAGACCAATCCTACAACCTCCAATTTATAATGGAGTTTTTATGCTATTAAGCTACAAGTCCGTCAGCATGAAAACTATCTTTTAATTACTAATTATTTTTAAGTATAAATTAATTGAAAGTGCCTAGCTTTGTAATTTTTAAAGTGAATGAGTATCTCACAAGTCACAACCTACACCGTTTCATGTTATCAGTGAAGTTTCAGGTTGGGTCAAAGTCCAACGCCATCATTTAGTTATTTTGGATTCATTATTTTCCACTACAATACCGTTACTTGTGTATTATTCTTTCTCTCAATTATTTAAAAGCATCATTTTTCTTTAAAAAAATATTAATTATTATTATATTTGGTCTTTAATATATAAACTAGTTAACTAATTTGGAGAGATTAAAAAATTTACTAAATTACTTAATTATTGCATGTGTTACATAATCTCTCTAAAATACTTATAGGTATCATTAAATTATGTATCAATTTATAAGTGAGACAAATTACTTTTAAAAAAATAATAGATATAAATAGAGTAACTTTTCTAATTTTTTTAAATTAGTCAATTGAATTTATATCAAAGACCGAAGGTAGGATATAATAGGGTAGTATTCTTAATATGGATACCAAACAATTGGCCAAACGATGCACCACTCACCCCGACACCACGTTATTAACAAGGATAATCTGCATTTCCTATTCCTAATCACTAAAGTAAAGAGCCCCACCTGTTATAAAAATCCTAACATTAGCTGTTAAGTATGATTTGCCATCCCCTTTTCCTAATTAATTAATTAAAGAAAAAGCCCCTGCCTGTTATAATAATCCTAATATTAGTTGCAATTTACACAAATTGTAAAAAAAAAAACGTAAATGTGCAATAATTCAATAAAACTCTTTTTAATTTTTGAATTTTAATTTATATATAATAATAAATTCCAAAAACAAAATAATTTGTTGCTTGCATTTTTATATTTTGATGATTATGTTGCCTATATTTTTAATATGTACAAAATAATAAATTGTACGATAAAATAAGTTATTTATTATATTTTTAGCTTATACAAGAGTAATAAATTATGAAAAATATTATTAAAATGACATTCTATGAGACAGACGGCGCGTTACAGTGAGCATAAACTTTGGAATCACATACGGAAAAAGAATAAAGCAGAAATTAAAAAGAAATAGCCGTTGGCTCGTGGTTCCTTTAGCTTTTGGAAAAGTGTTGCCGCACCGAAAGCAAAGGATGGAAAAGCAGGTCAATCGTTATGTCGGATTTCAATTACACAGTAATTGACCGGAAGCACCCAAACAGCCAAAGGAAGACTTTCGTCTATCTATACCTCACCACTCAGTAGTGAAGCATTAACAGCTCTCAGCTGGTGAATAGTTTCTGTTAGCTTTAGCATCCTTGTCCAGGCATAGGAAATTCTTCCAACAGTACTTGGAAATTCTTTTGAAAAATTATAGGTTATGAACGTTAGCCTAAAAACACAAGTTATTATTTATATTCTTGTGGCTTATTTCACTGTCTTGCATAATATGGGACTAGTTCGTATTGACACATCGACGCTGTAACTCCAATAACAACGTGTGCTGAGGGGAAAAGTTCAAAACAATAAATAAAAACTAATTGTTTAATGTTATTATTTTTATGGATGCTTTTCATGTAATATATTATTTTTTACTATTATCTTGGATATTTTACAAATTGCAATGAAGCTGCTAAAGGTTTTTTTCCCATTAATTATTGGGAAATTACACATAGGTCCCACAAAAGACTATTAATTCATAAAAAGTCCCTGAAAATTTCAAAATGATTCCTAAATCCCCAGGACCTTGTGTAATAAATTGAAATTATGAAATTACCTATTTACCTCTATTAATTTTATTGCAGTAATTTATTTACAACTTCAACAGTTGCTGTTGACAACTCGAAGAGAAGTGGTTAACAACCTCGGTAGTGTCTCTGACAACTCACTCTGTGGGATGCCAGAGGCACCGCTGAGGTTGTTAACCACTTCTCCTCGAGTTGTCAATAGCCACTGTTGAGGTTGTAAATAAATGGGGTAAATAAGTAATTTTACAATTACAATTTATTACACACAGGTCCCTGGAGACTTGGGAGTCATTTTGAGATTTTGAGGGATTTTTTGTGAATTAATTATCTTATATGAGACCTGAGTATAATTTTCCCTTAATTATTGCAATCGCTTGGGATTCTCTATCCTCGCTTGTGGTTGGTACCGTTTTTCAAAGGACAAACGGGAAAAAAGAGAATTATTCGAGGAAGGTAAAGGACAAAAACAAGAATGGCTGTTGTAAGACTGGCAGATGGTAAAGTTGAATTTTCAAAAGTCTCAATTCAAGCCTTATCTTTGTATTTTATAATTTCTTTTGAAAAAGTATAGGTTATGAACGTTAGCCTAAAAACACAAGTTATTATTTATATTCTTATGGCTTATTTCACTGTCTTGAATAATATGGGACTAGTTCATATTGACACATCTACGCTGTAACTCCAATAACAACATGTGCTGAGAGGGGAAAAGTTCAAAACAATAAATAAAAACTAATTGTTTAATGTTATTATTTTTATGGATGCTTTTCATGTAATATATTATCTTCTACTATTATCTTGGATGTTTTACAAATTGCAATGAAGCTGCTAAAGGTTTTTCTCCCATTAATTATTGCAATCGCTTGGGATTCTCTATCCTCGCTTGTGGTTGGTATCGTTTTTCAAAGGACAAACAGGAAAAAGGAGAATTATTCGAGGAAGGTAAAGGACAAAAACAAGAATGGCTGTTGTAAGACTGGCAGATGGTAAAGTTGAATTTTCAAAAGTGTCAATTCAAGCCTTATCATTGTATTTTATAATTTCAGAGTAATTTCTTATAACCATCCAGAGTTCCCAACAACCAAAGAAAGACTTTCGCCTATCTATGCCTCACCACTCATCAGTGAAGCATTAACAACTTCTGAATTTCTTGTTCCATCTTTGTCTAGTTTTCTTCCTTTCTTGTTGCTGAATACTTTCTCTCAGCTTTAACATGGCGGAGTTGGTGGCTGGAGCGTTTCTCTCCTCCTTCCTTCAAGTGACATTTGAGAGATTGGCTTCTCGTGACTTTCTCGACTACTTTCGTGGCAGAAAGCTTGACCATAGCTTACTGACAAAATTACGCATCATCCTTCTTTCTGTGGACAAAATTGTTGAAGATGTAGAGGAAAGGCAATACAGAGACCATCGTGTGAAGCTGTGGCTTGATGAGCTCAAAGATGAAGTCTTTAAGGCTCAAGACTTGCTGGACGACATTGCTATTGAGGCATCACGACAGGAGCTAGATGCTGAATCGCAAAGTACTGCTGTTATCCGCAAGGTACGAGGCTTCTTTACTGCTCTTGGTAATCAAAATCAATTTGACAAAACGATAGAGTCAGGGATCAAAGTGGTGCTAAACAACCTCGAGTATCTTATAAAGCAAAGTGAGATATTGGCATTCAGGGAAGGGCCATCTACTGGTTTTCAATTGGGAGTAAATAGGAAAGAATACAAAAGATTGCGTACCACAAGTTTGATAGATGAATCCAATATGTATGGCAGAGATGCTGATAAACAGGAGATTGTGGATAAGTTACTATCACAGAACATGGGTGGGAATCAGTTGCCTATGGATGTGATTGCCATCACTGGTATGGGTGGGATGGGCAAGACGACCCTCGCACGACTTGTCTATGACCATGTAAAGATGAAGGATCAATTTCAATATCACGTTTGGGTGTGTGTTGCTGAAGAATTTGATGCTCATCAAATTACAAAAGTGATTCTTAAGTCACTTGATCCTGAAATTAAGATATTAGATGATTTTCAATTATGCCGGCGTAAACTAAAAGAGGAGTTGATGGGTAAGAAATTCCTTCTTGTTCTTGATGACGTGTGGAACGAGAACCGTGAAATTTGGGAGGACTTCCAAGCTCTGTTGAGACAAGTAGCACCACAGAGTAAGATTCTTGTCACAACTCGTAATAGAAAGGTGGCAGAAGTCATGTGTTGTACCTTCACACATCCTTTGATGCCATTACAAGAAGGAGATTCTTGGAAATTATTTGCAAAACATGCATTTGGCAACCAACATGATAATGAAGATCAAAATCTTGAAGAGATCGGTAGAAAAATCGTGAATAAGTGTGGAGGATTGCCTTTAGCAATAAAAACACTGGGAAGTTTGTTGCACAGAAAACTCTCTTCTCAGTATTGGGATAAGATTTTGGAAAGTGAGATTTGGCAATTATCAGAAAATGATAGCAACACTATCCCATCTTTAAGATTAAGCTACCACTATTTACCGTCAAATCTAAAACGTTGTTTTGCATATTGCTCCATTTTTCCTAAAGATTATGATATAGACAAGAATGTCTTAATCCAATTGTGGATGGCAGATGGTTTAATATATCCAACTCAAAGAAGTACAAGCCTTGAAGAAACGGGTGATGAAATTTTCAAAGATCTAGAGTCTAGGTCTTTTTTTGAGCCATCAAAAATAGGTGGCGATTATTTCATCATGCATGATCTTCTAAATGATTTAGCAAAATCTATTGCAGGAGAGTTTTTTGTGTCGCTTGATGCTACTCAAGCACAAGATATGTCAACCAAGACTCGCTACCTTTCATATATAAGATACAAAAGCGATAATGTTGACATTTTTGAGAAAGTTTTAAAATGTCACCAATTACGTAGTTTCATCCAATTTGACAGTCTTAGCATTGGCGATGATATAATGTCCAGGCTTTGTCGTCTCAAGTACATACGACAATTATCTTTGAAGGGATCTCAAAATCTGAGAAGCTTGACAGATGGCATTAGCAATTTAAAGCACCTGCATTATTTGGATCTTTCGTTCACTTCAATTAAGAAATTGCCGAATTCAATATGCTTGTTGATTAATTTACAAACGTTGAAATTAACATATTGTGATGACTTGACTGAGCTGCCGTCAAATTTGTACAAACTCATCAACTTGCGTCATCTTGACTTGGAAGGCTGTGGCATACGGAAGATGCCAAGAGGTATGGGAAAGTTAAATCAGCTCCGAACAATGAATCAGTTTGTTGTGGCAAAGAAAGGAGGATCAAATATAAAAGAATTAGGAGCCCTTAACCACTTAACAGGCTCACTAACCATCTCAAATATGGAGTACGTGAGTGATCCTACAGATATGAGGGAGGCCAAGTTGAAAGAAAAGAAATTGGTTGAATTGACGTTGTCGTATCAGGGAGACAGCTATAGTCGTGAAGAGGCACAATGCCAGGAGCACGTATTGGAAGCCCTTGAGCCAAATCAGAGTGTGAAAGAGCTCACCGTTGAGAGATACAGAGGTACCAAATTTCCAAAGTGGCTTCTTCATTTTCTACCTAATTTAGTGTCTTTATATCTAGGGAGTTGTGGCAACTGTGCGGGCTTACCACCACTTGGGCAACTACCTTCTCTCCAGAAACTCGTGATCCGTGAATTTCATGGAATAAAGGTGATAGGTGAAGAGTTCTATGGGAATGGCTCCTTAATTGCTCAACCATTTCCTTCCCTCTTATATTTAATGTTTTGGGATATGAGAGAATGGGAAGAATGGGATGTATGTTATGAAGGTGAAGGTTTCCCATGCCTTGAAGAACTTCGTATATATGATTGTCCTAAACTGACAAAGTCTCTGCCTCAACACCTTCCTTGTTTGAAAAAACTGAACATTTTTGGATGTTGGAATTTGGAGGCGACACTTCCTAAGTCCTCTTCCATAGAAATGCTGTTTTTAAGGGACTGTATGAAGATATCAGTGAAAGACATGCCCACATGGAGCATCTCAGATGTGCTTCCACCTCTCCATGACCTATATTTATGTAATTGTCCAGCAATGGAATCTCTTCCCCAAGGAGGTATGCTTTCCAGCCTACAACGTCTTACAATCCGTGGGTGTTCCAAGGTCATTGCGTGTGGTAGGGATTGGGGTTTGCATGAGTTGTTGTCTTTGAAACAACTTGAAATTAGTGATGACGTCATGGAGTGGTTCCCTGAAGAAGAGAGATTGTTGCCGCCCAATCTCCAATCTCTGTCATTCGATTGTTGTCACAATTTGAGAAGAATAAACCATAGGGGTCTTGTGCACCTCCATTCTCTCACTTCCTTATCGTTTTATAAGTGCCCTCGCATGAGTTTTGAAGGCATGCCAGAAGAAGATGCTTTACCTCCATCCCTCTCTCATTTACTAGTTGATTTTGGATGTCCGTTGCTGAGGGAGAGGTGTGAAAAGGAGAAAGGACCAGATTGGCCTAAAATTGCTCATATCCCTAATGTCTCCATCTACTCTCTAGAAGGTACTTCCTCTATACTTATTCATAACAGACATACAAATAAGTTCCTCCATGGCATGCCAATATGCACACACATACACCATATACATTCATATTCATGTTGTATGTCTCATCCTGCCCTGTATATGCGTGATTTAGAAGAGACCGAAAATATCATGAATTCTTTCCGACCATATTTGCTCTGTTCATAGAAGGTTAATTAATAATAAAGAATTGGAATGCCCCAAATGATTGCTTAAAGCATTGCATGGGGCCTTAAAAATATACATAGCTCAAGAATAACATGTTTAATTTTAAAAGAGAAATTTAGGAAAAAATCTCCTATAAAAAGTTTTTATTGATGCGAAGGACCTAATTGTCATAATAGTATCAACATTGTATACTGATACTTTTTGTGTATACAAATTTATGGTCCTTCTCACCAATAAAATTAATCAAAACTAAATTAAGCCCAGAAATTGAAAACTATTTATATTAACACACTTTTTTGTATGTGCGTGTGTAGGTCCGTAGGATTTGTGCCAAAAAATAAGAGGACACTGGAGAAGATGCCAGTAACTACAGGAACCATGGACACTGCAACGCATCATGTGGTTTCAGAAAGTGTTGTGTTTGCTGTCAGGAACCTCCTGCTTCTTCTTCTTCTCCAAGTCACTTTAATTAATTTAAATAATTACTTCTCTCTTGCTTGATCCATATTTGTACTACTTTTGTGTTCTGAATCTGAAATAAATATGAATAAGAATATTTATATCTTACTGGGAACAAATTATGCAAGTTATTTTTATCTCATGTTTGAATATGGCTCTTTACACACCTTCTTCTGTTAGTCCAAAATGAAATATTGACACGACATGATGGTTAATTATAAGCTTAACTTGGAAGTTATAAAGCATATAAGATGTGTGAAAATATTATTCTTAAAATTTGAATTAGTCAATGATATTGGATATCAAATTATTCTTAAGAAAATATTTTGATTGTCTAGACTGATGGCACTTATGTCGATAATAATATGTGAAAATACAAAACTATCACCATATAAAAGATTGGGGTACTGGATACACATCGAAAATGATATTACAATGCACATTTATCCATTATATATTTGAATTGCTTTTATAACTTATTATTTTGAATTAAAGATGAAAGTATTAGCGGCCGAAGGTTATAAATTAATAAATTATGGAGGAAAATGAAGTCCAAATGTTTTTATAAAAAAGCACTTCATAGCGTCTGCTGATTGAAAGGATCAGCCGCGAAACATATAAAAATTTAAAAGAACTTATGGTGTCAGGCCCAAAAAAGACAGACGCCATCTTTGGTTTTTTAAACTTTCAGTTGTCTACACTTTTTTCTTATTCTCAGGCCCCAAAAAAACCCTTTTTTCTTTTTCGGAAAATTTATGACACCTGTTACAATACAAATAGGTTTGATAACAATTTTTTTGAAATAATTTTCATTCACCTATGCCATCTGGTCCAAAACAAACCAGGCATCATTAGTGTTTAAATTTTTAATGTGCGTAATTTATTTTTCTATTTCAAAATTAACATGTTTTAAAAAATTTTATTAGTTTAAGTGGCAACTTATTTACATCTTATTTAAAATTTTTAAGAGTTAATTTACATGCGTATATATAGTTGATATATTTATGTATGGTACCTGTTGTTATATATAACAGTGGTGATAGAATAATAATCTTATTTACGGCTTCTGTTCTTAACGCAACAAAAGCCATAAATTCTTATTATTTCTGTTTCTTTAACAACAGAAGCAAGATCTAGTAGTCAAACTAACATTTTGTATTAGTATTTTTACAACCTCCAGCTTGAGTTTTTATGTCATTAAACTTCAAGGCCATTGATATAAAAGCTATTTTTTAATTACTGAATTATTTTTAAGTATAAATTAAGTTAAAGCCGCTTGTAATTTTTAAAGTGGATGAGTATCTCACAATCTATACCATTTCATGTTATCAATCAGGTAATGTATGGGATTTAAGCGACCCTACGAAAAAAACATCATATAATTAAATCAATCATACATAAATAGGACCCCAAATTTGTAAAATTACTCTCAAAATCTTGAAAAACAATCACTATTTAAAAGTCTTCAAAAAATCATACAGGGGGATATATGTAAAAGCAATTCAAAATTTAATTTCCCTATTTAAATTTTCAGGGCGCGTAATTTTGTTATGTTCCGTGCATATAATAGTTGATAAAAATATGCTAAATAATACCACAATGTCACTCGATAAAATAAAAAAAAAAACTGTCACCATTATACTTCGATGAATTAATAACCAGTTCAAGATTTGTTCATTATTTAAAAAAAAACAAAAACAAAAATCATAAAATAGTTCATGACCTATTAATAGTGCATATTTTTATATATTTTAGGTCATATTTTTTAAGAGATTAGCGGAATTCATAAAATATTTCTTACAATGACAAAGCGAAAGGGCCAGTATGTGTGCAATAAAGAGTGGGCTAAAAAAATTTATATACAAGTTTAGATTGAAAATAAATCTTTATAATTTTGAATCATCCGATCGTCTCACTCAATGATACAAAGCACATATTATTTATATAAATATATATTATTGACTCTCCAAAATGAAAATTGACATGATGGTTATATATAAGCTATAATGCATATAAGATTTGGGAAAATACCATTCTTAAAATTTGGATTAAATAATATTGGATATCAAATTATTCTTAAATCAAAACAATGAAAACTGATTCTCCTATATATATATATATATATGATAATTATTTTATATTCATAGTAAGTTAAATAATAATTAGTTAACATGCAAAATCAATAAGTACAGGTATTCGGGCCAATCCAAAGCTAAACGGGCTCAACCTTTTTTTTTTGGCACTTATTTTTGCTAACATGAAAAGCCTTGCTATATGTTAATTTTGAGAGAATTACAATGGGATCTTAAAAAAAAAAAAAAATACCAACAAGTCTTAATAATAAGTAAGAAATTGTCATTTACTATCATAAAACTTGTCATTATAGGTTATTCTATTGTCATTGGGATTTGGCACTTTTTAATAATTATATTTTTTTCTTGAAATTTCCTAGCAATTCTTCCTTAAGCTTAGTCCTAAAATTTTTCTCTTTTTTCACCAACTTAGTCCTAAAATTCTTCAGACTTGTGCGGGTAGCCCAAATAATTAACTCTACTTGAGTACACGCACGTGACGACCAAACATGTCCGAAATGTTGATAGGCATTATTATTTGTTGCCATAATAACTAAGTATTTAATTTATCATATACTATTCAGAATATGAATCCATTTAATTCATCTTGCAAAACAATCATTTGAAGAATTATATATCCAAATTTATAAAACCATATCTATAATCTTTATTTCTTACATGAATTATTAAGTATTCATTGTAAGAAATATATTATTTCCATCCATTTCATCTTGCTTTCGCATATATATTTCAAGCCATTTTCCTTCCTACAAATCACAAAAATAATATTTTCTGGTGCTGATAGCCAAAAAAAAAAAATTTAGATTGACACTACTTATTAGTTATACCATGACTTTTACTTGGTCTATCTACTTATCTTTTAGAGAGAATACAATGAGATCCTGAAGGAAAAAAATAATTATTAAAAAGTCCTACTAACAATTTAAGCAGTTTGTCATAACAAGTTTTAAAGTAGAAAATAACAATTTCTGAAACTTGGTTTGTAATTATTTTTCTTCGTTAAGAACTCATTATAATTCTTCCTATCTTTTAGAGACAAATTTAGCATTTCCTCAAAAAATTACTTTACGTTTTACAAGATAACATCCTCTTACGTATTTATCACCTACAATACAAAATCACCTAAAATAATCTAAACATCCAATAAGTATTTCTCCTCTTGAACCTCACCATGAGCTGTAATTCCATTGGTTGTTGCAGGAAGAACATTTGCTTGGTGGTGGCCTGCTTGACATACAGATCAACCATGAAGGTTCTTTGAACCTTTGAAGCAAGATGAGCTTCGATCTCTTAATCTTTCAAGCTAAATAACAATGAGTTAACACGCAAAATCAATAAGTACATGTATTTGGGCTAATTCAAACCTAAATGGGCTTACCTTTTTTGGGCACCTATTTAGGCTAACTTAAAAGCCCTCGTCCTAAAATATTGGGCACTTGTTAACCCAAATGATTGGCTCTCATTTTTTGAAGACAGGCGAACAACCCAGCACATCCTAATAGGCATTTAATTATGTTTATTAGATACCATTCATCAAAATATGAATCCATTTGATTTATTTTGCAAATCAATCATTTAAAGAATTATATATTCAGAATTTGTAAAACCATATCTATGATATTTATTTCTTACATGAATAATTAAATATTCATTGTATGAAATATATTATTTCCATCTAATTCATCTTTCGTCTATCTGCACCTCACGCAGTAGTGAAGCATTAACAACTCTCAGCTAGTGAATATTTTCTGTTAGCTTTAACATCCTTGTCCAGGCATAGGAAATTCTTCCAACAGGAATAGGATCATATAATTAAATCAATTATATATAGATAAGACCCCAAATTTCTAAAATTACTCTGAAAAAAATCATACTAGGGGACATATGAAGGAATTCACACGTGCCAATCCAACATTTAATTTCTCTATTTAAATTTTCATGGGGCGTAATTTTATTATGTTCGATACATATAACAGTTGACAACAATGTACTAAATAACATCACAACGTCACTCGATAAAAAATAAAAATTCACTCCATCATGGATACTTCAATAAATAACCAGCTCAAGATTTGTTCATTATTTTTTCAAAAAAAAAAAGATCAAGTCACAAGTGTTTTCCAAATTCAGCTGTTAATTTCAAGTTGTCTCGTATCAGGCTGAAAAATTTATATTAAAAATTTACAAAATATAGAAAAGATGCAAAAATGCCACTTTTGAATTCATTAGTTAATTACATTTATGATGTGTTGCATTAAATTAACGAGCTTTTTCTCTTGATGGCCAAAAAAAGGGGCTTTTTTCCTCCAAATAAATTTTCTCAAAGGGTCAAAATGCAAATGTACTTATAAAATACTTTGATGGTGAGAGGACCAGATACCGTAAACTTTTTTTAGGACTAGAAGTATTTAAAATGTTTTTAAATAGGTGTGAACATGTTATGGCCATTAAATCAATTAATATTGACCATTGAACAAATATGTCAATTATGATTTTTTTTATAATCATATTTTTCTTTTTTTAATAAGTGCAAAAAAATTTTATTATAATTAATTTTTCGTTGATGAATAAATTTTTTTATATTTCTGAAATATGTTTTTAAGAATTTTTCAGGTTGGGTCAAAGTATGATGCACCACTCAGCCTGGCACCACGTTAATAAGGATAATTTGCATTTGCCATTCCTAATTGCCAATGTAAAGAGCCCCGCATGTCATAATAATCCTAATATCAGCTGTTAGGCATGACTAAAGCAAAAGGCCCTGCCTGTTATAATAATCCTAATATTAGTTGTAAGACTACATGGATTGTCAAAAAAAAAAAAGGTAAATGTGAAAGAATTCAATAAAACATTTTTTAAATTTTTGAATTTAAATTGATATATAATAAATTCCAAACAAAAAAATGTGTTGCTTTTTGTATATTTTGATGATCATGTTTTTTATATCTTTAATACGTACAAAATAATAAATTGTGCAATAAAATAAGTTATTTATTATGTCTTTAGTATATACCAGAGAAATAATAATACTCGTAAATTATAAAAAATATTATTAAAATTACATTTTATAAGACAAATGGTCCTATAGTATAAACTTTGGAATAAAAAATGAAAAAATAAAACAGAAATTAAAAAGAAATAGCCTTTTGTTTTTTTTTTCACCAGAAAAGAAAAGAAATAGCCTTTGGTTCCGCACCCTCGTCGTTTCTTTTGCTTTTCCAAAAGTGCCGCCGCACCGAAAGATAAAAAGTGGAAAAGCAAGTCAATCATTATGTCGGATTTCAACAACGCAGCAATTTCCAGCAAGCACCCAAATAACCAAACGGAGAAGCATCAACAACTACTCAATTTCTTGTTCCACCTTTGTGCAATTTCTTCCTTTCTTCTTTCTTACGGAATATTTTCTGTTAGGCCTTAACATGACGGGACAGGTCGCAGGAGCGTTCCTCTCATCTTTCCTTCACGCGGCATTTGAGAGATTACCTTTTTCTGATTTTCTCGATTATTTTCATGACAGAAAGCTTGATCATGACTTGAGGACAAAATTGTGTGTCATCTTTATTTTTGTGGACAAAACTATGCTTATCAGATACTATTCATCAAAATATGAACCTTTTTAGTTTATTTTGCAAATAAGTCCTTTAAAGAATTACATATTCTAAATTTGTAAAACCATATCTCTGATATTTATTTCTTACATGAATAATTAAATATTCATTATATGAAATATATTATTTCCATCTAATTCATCTTGGGTTCACATATGCTACCTCCAGCCTTAATTATAACGAAACTTGTTGAATTTTTCGAAAAACCTGTTGTTAACCACTATAAACACTTCTTTTAAGTCCTTTTTAAGTGTGAGATTGTAAGTCCGACCCCTTAATAAGTATAATGGGTGTATAACTTCTTTCTGAATGAAAAATGGAGGGAAAACATCGAATCATAGTATTAATAAATGAGTTACATTGTTTAAAGCTGGTCAACCATGTAATTAGTTAAAAAAATTTGTATTATATATATATGTATAAAAATATATAGATTATTGACCCTCCAAAGAAATTATTCATAAAAAATAAAAAAATTAATAATTAGGACTTATCTATTTTTATTTCCATATGTAGCAAAGGTGCCAAAAATAAGAGCACAAGGGCAGGCATGCCCGAAGAGTGAAGACTGCATATCGTTGTATGATTCCAAGAAATGTGATGCAGCTGGTCCAGTCAGCCGCTGCAAGGCTGGCTTCTGTATTTGTTGTGAGAGACCTTCTAATTCAATTTGATCATCTTCACCTCATTGCTTCAATAATGATAGTAATTGCACTACTCTCATCTATGTTTTGGATCTCACATAATCCACAAGAATAGTTATATTCTTATTTTTGAAATAATATATTGAGCCATGTATTATATATTTGAATTGTTTTTATAGCTTTTGTTGTGAACTAAAGAGGCAGCCACTGAAAGCTTAAGATTAACAAAAATCAATTCAATTAGTAAGGAGTCGGCTTATAATCCACAAGGATGTGAGTTTGAATCTTACTGTCAATATGAAAATCTTATTGGTGGGTGATTTATAAATATCTATGTAACTGCTCTCTGAGCTTAGAGGCATATTCTGGTATTGGTGAGCCCCTTTGATGCATATGGTTTTTAATATAAGACATGGTTAATTAATTTGAAAAGATTAAAAAAATTACTAAATTATTTAATTATAACACGTGTTATTAGATTATTAGATTATATATCAATTTATACGTGAGACAAATTAGTTTAGAGAAAGACGATAAATATAAATAGAGTAACTTTTTTTTAATTTTTTAAAATTATTCAATTGAGTCTTATATTAAATAGTGGAAATAGTACTCTCAGTTCTAAATATAAGATTTATTTTTGTGGTGTAATACTATAAAAATAGGTTTTATATGTAGTAACGAATGGTATATAAATAACATTGTATTCTTAATGTGGATGTCGGCACCAAACAATTGGCCAAACGATGTGTCACTCCCGTGGCACCACATTAATAAGGATAATTTGCATTTCCTATTCCTAACTACTAACTACTAATTTACGAATTACTAAAGATCCATCTGTTATGATAACCCTAATGTTAGCTGTTAAGCATGATTTTATTGTGATGTTTGTGTAGGTGTGTCAAAGAAAAGGCATCACATTATTTGATAATGTGGGAGTTAGAGTGAGCACATTCTTAATGAGGATTTGTGAAAATTCAAATATTATTTTAAAATGAAACAGCATATTAAAATGCTCCTCCGGTCCTTAATATAAGACCCATTTAACTAATTTGATTAGATTAAGGAAGTTAGGTTAGTTAGTTAATTATAAGAAAAATGACACATTTTTCCTAAAACACCATAATCATCTTTCTTAATACCCCATCTCCCTCTTCTACTTGATTGTGGTTGAGGAAGTATCCATAGGGGTACTTTAGAGAAAATTGATAAATATGAGAAATGGGTCTTATATTTATAACCAAAATCAACTCAAGAATTGGATCCTATATTAAGGACTGGAGGAGTAATATTATTGCCAATATTAGTGAAGAAAAATTGAATACTGAATCATCATCAATAGTTTTAATACTTTAAAGTTGGTTTTGAATTCTAATCCAATTATTTTAATCATCCCAAAGCATTAAAGTCGAACGGTTTCTTTTAGCCTTAAGATCAATGGTTTCTTTTTAAGGGATATTTGGGTGAGAACAAAAAGGGTGTTTGGAAGCACCCAAAAGTACTTCTCAGAAACAAATTTTTATAAATCGAGATAAACTTCTTTATATATTTACTTCGTATATCGTAAAAGTACTTCTAAAATCACGAGACAAACTCCTCTATATATTTACTTTGTATACTGTAAAAGCACTTCTGAAACCATAGGTAGAGGAATTTGTCTCGATTTGTGGGAAAGTGCTTCTGAAAAGTACTCTGGGTTAGCCAAACACCCCATTAGTCTTAATATCAACGGTTTCTCTTAGGCTTAATGTCCTGAAAGGTTTCAAATATCTAAACGATCAAATCACAAATGTTTCAGCTCTGTTTGGATTACTGTTTAGCCTGCAAAATGCATCTTGGAAAGCGTGAAACCTGGGTTGGAGAGTTTTTTTAAGAAAAAAGATTGTTTAGGATAGCGTTTTGTTCTATCGCCATTGCCACTTCAAACTGACTTTTGTCCAATGAAATTTTTTATTGCTTTTACCTTTGGCTGCAGTGCGGTGAATGGGGCCCACTAATTTTTTTAACCTTCATAGCCTTTGTTGGCGAACCCTGTGTAGGACAACTCATTTATTTTTTTTCTTACCAACACTAAGCAACCCATTTATATTATTTATTATTTTCTTAATTTATATTTTTTAATTTGTCCCGCATATTTATTTAATTAATTATCTATAATGTGTTTTCAAATTTTTCTTGATAGCAAATATTTTTATTTTATAATATCACAAATAAACTATTTTATTTTATCATAATAATTTTAGGTATTTTTTTAACTATTATCACATTAAAAAAATAAAATATCCAACACTACTATTCAATAAAATCCATGCCCTTTTCAGTCATTTTACAACTGAATTCACTTTTCTATTAATCATCCAAACAACTTTTAACTTTCCCAACTGACTTTTTATAAGCACATATCCAAACATAAATCACATTATACTAACTAACTTTTACTCTAACTTCAGCTACAAAAGTTAGTTAGACTAGAAGTCAGTTTTACCCAACACTGATTTAAATACACCCTTAAAGTATTATGGCAACCCATCGTACTTCCACCGTTTGGACTAATCATCAATTCATATTTATACATTTCATCGGAATTGATTTGAATTCAATGGAACAAACGAGCCATTGAATATTATGCTTTTATGGTGCCAATATTCATTTCCTTTGGAACCTATATAAAAAGTTTTGGCTAAGGTACAAAAGACACACAGTTCTAAAGTTTTCGAGCTCTTTTTTTCTCCCTCTGTGTGTTCTCTTACCTGCTAAGTTTATTACTATTTTCTGTTGTTCTGCTCATTCTGTTTTACAGGAAGGATCTGTTTAATCTTGAGGAGTGCCGCACTCTCATCTACCAGTTGCAGAATAGTTCTTAAGGACAGCGTCTTTAAAACGTGACTCCGATTAACTACTTATTTTGCAAGTGTTGCGGCCAACATATTTGCCAGCCCTTTTTCCTAATTAATCACTTAAAGCAAAAGTCCCTGCCTGTTATAATAATCCTAATATTAGTTGTAATTTACATAAATTGAAAAAAAAAAAGTAAATGTGCAATAATTCAATAAAAAAATTTAAAATTTAAAATTTAATTTATATATAATAATAAATTCCAAACAAAATAATTTGATGATTATTTGCGTATATTTTTAGTACGTTCAAAGTAATAAATTGTACGATAAAATAAGCTGTTCATGATATTTTTTGGTACACACAAGAGCAATAAATTATAAAAAAATATTATTAAAATCTTTTTGCTTTTTTAAAAGTGCTGCCGCTCCGAAAGCAAAAAAATGGAAAAGCAAGTCAATCATTATGGCGGATTTCAATTACGCGGTAATTTCCGGGAAGCATCCAAATAACCAAAAGGAGGACTTTCGCGTCTATCTATGCCTCACCCCACCAGTAAAGTATCAACAACTACTCAGTTTCTCGTTCTATCTTTATCCTGTTTTCTACTTTTCTTTCTTTTGGATGAAAAATAGGGAAAAACGTTGAATCATAATATTAATAAATGAGTTGCACTGTTTATAACTCATGAAGCATGCAATTAATTAGTTACGAATTTTTGTATTATATATATAAATATATGGATTATTGACTCTCCAAAAAAATTATTCGTAAAAAATAAAAATTTAATAATTAGGACTTACGTATTTATATGTCTCATATGTAGGAAATAGGAATGGTGCCAAAAATAAGAGCACCCGGTCTAGTCAGCTGCTGCAACCCTGGTTTTTGTGTTTGCTGTGAGGGACCTCCTAATTTGATTTGATCATTTTCACCTCATTGCTTAAGTACATAATAATAATAATAATAATAATAATAATAATAATAATAATAATAATAATAATTGTACTACTTTGATCTGCGTTTTGGATCCCAAATAATCAATAAGAATAGTGATATTCTTATTTGGAATATTAAATTGAGCCATATATTATATATTTGATTTGCTTTCTAGGGTTACAAGTGGGACGATCGGGCCTACAACCTCCTGTGTATAGTGGAGTTTTTTTGCCAAGGTTATTGGCATAAAAATTATTTTTAAATTACTAATTACTTTTTAATTATAAATTAATTAAAAGTGGCTCGTAATTTTTAAAGTGAGTGGGTGTCTCACAATCGATACCATTTCATGTTGTCAATGAGGCGATGGATGGATTTAAGCGACCCTGCCAAAAAAGGATCATATAATTAAATCAATTATATATAAATAAGACTCCAAATTTATAAAATTACTCTCAAAAACTTTAAAAAAATATTACTCCTCCGGTCCTTAATATAAGACCCATTTAACTAATTTGATTAGATTAAGAAAGTTAGGTAAGTTAGTTAATTACAAGAAAAGTGACACATATTTCCTAAAACACCATAATCATCTTTCTTAATACCCCCTCTCTCTTCTACTTGATTATGGTTGAGAGAGTACCTATAGGGGTAATTTAGAGAAAAAATATAAATATGAGAAATGGGTCTTATATTTAGGACCAAAACCAACTCAAGAATTGTGTCCTATATTAAGAACCGGAGGAGTACTATTTAAAAGACTTGAAAGAAATCATACAAGGGACACATGTAGAAGGAATTCACACGTGCCAATCCAAAATTTAATGTCTTTATTTTAAATTTTCATGGGACTTAATTTTGGTATGATCGATGTAATAGTTTGATGATAATATACTCCTCCTATTCTTAATATAAGACCTATTTAACTAATTAAATTAGATTAAAAATTAAGTAAGTTAGTTAATTATAAGAAATATGACATACTTTTCTTAAAACGTTATAATCATCTTCCTTAATATCCTTTCTTCCTTTTTACTTAATTATAGGTAAGGGAATATCTATAAGAGTAATTTAGAAAGAATTCATAAATATGAAAAACAGATACTCCTCCGGTCCTAATTATAAGACCCAATTGACTTATTTGAGGAGATTAAGGAAGTAAGTTAAGTTGGTTATTTATAATAAATAAGTGTTGTCATTCCTAAAATATCCTTGCTAATTAAGTATATTGGCTAAAACTATCATTATTAGAA